TGGACATAGATGCCAATGTTGAGGCTAACTAAGTGGCTTTGTCAACTTCTAACCAAAGTAGAGTTTACTATAGCAAAAATTGGATAATTGACTCTGGAGCTGCTAGTCACATGACAAGAGATGAGGAAAAGCTATTGAACTTGTTAGAATACAAAGGAAACAGAGTGGTAGTCACAACAAATGATACTCGGCTTCTAATCAAGCAAATTAGAGATGCAGTGATAACGCCACACACCAACTCTCAACAAGTAAAGGTGAAAAATGTTCTCCATGTATCTGGGATGAAAAAGAATTTGTTGTCTATGGCACAACTTACAGCTCCTAGAAATTATGTAGTGTTCAGACTGGAGGATGTGAAGGTGTATCAACAATTAAAGATTAAAGGCACACCGATCATGAAAGGAGAAAAGAAGAATTATGTTTATGTGATGTCTGTTGAAACAACATATGTGGATAGGACCAACAAGAATCATACTGCTGACTTGTGGCATGCACGTCTTAGGCATGTTAGTTATCGTAAACTACAGGTGATGATGAATAAATCTATGGTGAAAGGCCTACCCAAGTTGGAAGTGCGCAAAGATGTTTGTGTTGGTTGTCAATATGGGAAAGCACATCAACTTCCATAACAAGATTCCAAGTTCAGGTCAAGGAACCACTGCAGCTGGTACACTCAGATGTCTTTGGTAAAGTCAAACAATCATCAATTGGTGGAGCACATTACATGGTCACATTTATTGATCACTACTCGAGGTATGTATGGGTGTACTTCATGAAGGAAAAATCAGAAACTTTAGAAATGTTTAAAAGGTTCAAAAAGGAACTTGAGCAGACAATTGGCAAGAAAATCCAGTGCCTTTGAACAGACAATGGGGGAGAGTATACATCAAAGGAATTTTCAGATCATCTACAAGATAATCGTATTCGGTGACAGCTAACTTGTCCATATACTCCTCAACAAAATGGAGTAGTTGAGTGGAAGAATAGACACCTTGCAGAAACATGTCGAAGCATGCTACATGCTAAAAATGTGCCACCTAGATTTTGGGTAGAGTGCATGAAGATTGCAGCCCAAGTGATTAACAGGCTTCCTCAAGCTACTTTGGGATTTATATCACCTTTTGAGAAGTTGTGGAACATTAAGCCAATCATGAGCCAATTTTGAGTCTTTGGCTCGGTGTGCTATATGTTTGTTCCAGAAGCTCAAAGGACCAAGTTTGATAAGAAACTAGTCAAAATGCATTTTTCTTGGCTATGATGATCAAAGGAAAGGATGAAGGTGATGTGACCCAAATACTAGGCATTGTTGTGTTTCTAGAAATGTTGTGTTTGATGAAGCATCTTCTTGGTGGTCTCCACAAGAGGTAGTGTTGCTAGATTCCAAGGAGTTGGAAGAAAAGGTATAGAAAAAGCTTGGAGAAGATACTTGCCTGTTGTTGGATACTCAAGAAGTTGTAGAGAAGGAAAAGGAGATAACTCTTGAAAGAATAGTGAGTCCATGGCAAACAGGGGTATGAGAGCCCATGACTGAAGAAACAAGACAAGGTGAAGTGGAAGAAGCAGAACAACAGCCTAAGCAGCAGCTACGACTCTCCACTCGAGAACAAAAGCCAAATCCTAAGTATGCTAATATTGCTCTTATTGAAGCAAGTTCGGTGACCAAACCGGAAAACTATGAGGAAGCTACACAAAGCATTGAATGGAGAAAAGAAATGGAAGAGGAGATAAAGGCTTTAAGGCAAAATCAGACTTGGGAATTAGTACCCAAGCCAAATGATGTAAAGCTAGTATCTTGCAAATGGATCTACAAAGTTAAGACTCGGCCAAATGGGAAGATAGAAAGATATAAGGCCAGACTTGTTGCTTGAGGGTTCTCTCAACAGTATGGGATAGACTATGATGAAACTTACAATCCGATGGCTAAGATTACAACTATTAGAGTACTGCTTGCTCTAGCTGCAAGCAAATCATGGAAGCTGTGGCAGATGGATGTGAAGAATGCATTTTTTCATGGAGAAATTGATAGAGAAATTTATATGGAGCAACCATGTGGATTTGAAGACAAAAGGCATCCAAAGTACGTCTGCAAATTAAAAAAGGCACTGTATGGACTCAAGCAGGCGCCGAGAGCATGGTATGGCAAAATTGCAGAATTTCTTGTTTAAAGTGGCTATTCAATGACACTTGCAGACTCAAGCCTACTTGTCAAAACTCGAGGCAACAAAGCAGCAATTGTGCTTGTCTACGTGGATGACCTAATTGTCACCAGAGATGGCATTGAAGAAATTCTTCAAACAAAGGAGAACTTGTTAGTACGGTTCTAGATGAAGGAGTTGGGAGAATTAAAGCACTTTCTTGGACTTGAAATGGATCGGACAAAAGAAGGCATATTCTTGTGTCAGCAAAAGTATGCATCAAACTTATTAAAGAAGTTTGGATGCTTGAGTGCAAGCCAATCTCAACTCTAGCGGAGATGAATGCTAGACTTTACTCCTATAAAGGGAAGGATTTAGCAAGTGCCACCATGTATTGATAACTCATTGGAAGCTTAATCTATCCAACTTTATCAAGGCCAAATATATCATTTACAGTAGAAGTGGTGAGTAGATTTATGCAAAATCCTAAAAAGCCACACTTGGAAGCAGTACGTCGGATTCTCAAGTATGTCAAAGCAACACTAGATTATGGCATATTATACAAGAGTGGCATTGAGTGTAAGGTGGTTGGCTATTGTGATGCTGATTATGCTGGATGTCATGATACAAGGAGATCCACTATTGGTTATGTGTTTAATTTGGGATCTGGAGCAGTCTCATGGTGTAGCAAGAGACAACTTACTGTTTCTTTATCAACCACTGAGGTAGAGTATAGAATAGTAGCTGTGGTAGCCTAAGAAAGCACCTGGCTTATGCAATTAATGGAAGACTTGAAGTAGCCAAGTGATTATTCAGTAAAATTATTATATTGTGATAATCAATCAACAATTCAATTAGCAGAAAATCTAGTGTTTCATGCTAGGACAAAACATGTTGAAGTTCATTACCACTTCATCAGAGAAAAGGTACTACAAGAGGAGATAGAAATGCAAACTACAAAAACAAATGAGCAAGCCGCAGATACATTCACAAAAGGGGTCAACATTGCAAAGCTTGAAAAGTTTTGTAAGTAGCTTGGGATGATGCCAAGAAGCAAAGTTGGTGTTGAGGGGGAGTGTTAAAATATTCATCATTGACTTGAGATCTAAAAGGTGATGAAGTAAAAGTCTTCTAGAAGCATATATTTTACTGCAAAGTAAATTGAAGCCACACAAGAATATATGATGGAAAGAAAGCCACATTAGTTGTGTGTCTAGATTTTGTATGTATGGTAAATTAAAATATTATAAACAAAAAGAATACTCTAGAATATGCACAATTGGTGTCCATCACTGACTTTCATAAAGCAAAATTGAAGAAGAAAATAGTGTGTGTGCGTGAGTTCAATAGAAAAAGGTGTTCTGCTATTTCCTCTTTTGGTCAACATCTCCTACTTCAGAGACCTGACACCTTTTGGACTCATGCGATTTCCACCATAATATACGGTTGCAGGCTTTTTTACCGTATAAATTGAAGATTGTTAATATTGGAATTGATAATGGTGATGGTAATGAACTTGATGTGGCAGTAGCTACAGCTGCGAAGGAAGAAGCCTAGGAGATGACATTCTGTGTCGAGTACTGCAATTGTAGTACTCATATATCAGTGCAAAATCTTCCAATCCAATCTTAGCTAGCTAGTTTCTCTAACTTGCCATTGCAGAAATAACAACAAGAAGAAAGTTCTACAAAAGAATTAAGGCTAGTTCTTGTTTCCTTTGCATTATAACTACTAGAGGAGATGTCACATTATATAGAAAAGGTAGCATCGGGACCTAGATAAACATATAGGACGATTAAAAATGTACTAATAGTATGATTAGTTGATAATTTTAATTATATGGAAGCACATGTTCTT